CTTGGAAGCAGGCCACACCCCTAGGGGAACTCCCCTTGGGCAGACTGGCCACTCAGAACACAGTCATCTGATCCCATCATGGGAACAACCACACAGAACTGGGGTCCAGCCAAGTTGACACACAGCTCCAGCTATCACAGGCCTTGTAGTTTACAGTTTGGCTTTTATACCAAAGAAAGTGGAAACTATTGGAAGATGGATGCTCAGTTTTTTTGTCCTTCCTGATCCTTGCCTATCTCACAACGCAAAAAGTGTGACAAAGGGATGACTTCCATTTTTAACAGAGTACTTTGAAGAGTAGCCCAGGGAATCTTGCAGATGGGTTAGGGGTCCTTCCACTCCAGTTGTGATTGTTGTAGTCTTTATTGAACACTGCCATATCTATTATGTCAGTTTGATATTGGTCTTCATGAAAACTCTGGAAGGTAGGAATGGGTAAATAGCACCCCATTTTAAAGGTGAACAAATGGATCCCACTAGTTACCACTGATTATGCAGTATTTGTCTGTGATGAAAATGCCCTGGACTTGGATTTAGAACCTTGAGGTCCAGTTTTGACTCTACCACTTACCAGCTGTGTCATTTTCAGCCAGTTACTTGGCTCCTCTGTTATGGGTTGAATGATACACTCCCAAAAGATATTTTTAAGTCTGAACCTTTGGTACCTTTGAATGTGACCTTATTTGGAAATAAGGCCTTTGCAGATGTAACTAGTTAGCCTTGAGGTCATACTGGAGTAAGATATACCCTAATCCAATATAACTGGTGTCCTTATAGAAAGAGGAGACGGAGGCACAGACAGACACAGAGTAAGGATGGCCGTGTGAAGGTGGAGGCAGAGACTGAGACCGTGCCCCTACAAGCCAAGGCATGCCTGGATACCAGAAGCTGGCAGAGATAAGAAAGGGTTTTCCCATAGAGCCTTCAGAGGGAGCATGACCCTGCTGACGCTTTTGAATTTGCACTTCTATACTTCAGAACCAAGACAACAAATTTCTGTTGCTTTAAACAAGTAACAGCTAAAGTGCTAATTTGTTACGACACCCCTAGGAAACTAATACACTCTCTAAGCCTCAGTTGATTGGACAGTGTTAACCACACCTGCTGGGGAAGGATGGTTGAGAGGCCCAGAATGAGATGGTGCAGGTGAAGGAGTTGCTACTGCTCACACGATGACCCCGCTTCTGCTCGTGGGGCCCCTGTTCTTTTCCAGCATCCTGCTTGGTGACTGACACCTGTATTTTCCATTTAATCCTTCTGGAGTCCTGTAGTGGAGTCTCAGAGCAGTTGAGTAACTGACCTGAAGTGGGAGTGGTGGTGGTTTGTTCATGTCAAGCAGATTCCGACTTGTGGTGACCTCACGTGTGCCCAGCAGAACTGTGCTGCAGAGGGTTTTCAAGGCTGGCACTTTCTGGAAGCACATCACCAGTCCTGTCTTCAAGGTGCGTCTGACAGGTTCAGAGTGACGTGCTTTCTGATGGTAGCTGAGCACTTAACCCTTTGTACCACCCAGGAACTCTCTGACCTAAGGTTCCACAGCTTGCTGTTCCCTGATTCAAGGTCGATGTCTGACTCTTCTTCGGCACTGCATGCCTGGCTCCTTGTCAGGTGTGGGTCAGGAGTCTACTGCTGCCTGTGGTTTGGTGTTTGCGTAGGGAAAAATCCCAGAATCTTAGGCTGTGTTGTGTTTGCTTTGCAGATGCCGCACCAGTGGACTTCCACTGTGAGATGGTCGCCAAAAAGCCAACCTTGGTTCTCACCTATGCCTGCCCTCCTGGCACCAATGCTGGCTTCAAGCTGGAGGTCAGCAGTGGGGCCTGGGACAACATGACTTACCTGGAGACCTGCTCCTTGCAGAATGACACCGACTACAAGACAGAACTCATGTATTTGAATTTTTCTACCTCGTACAACATCAGCATCACCACCTTGTCCTGTGGAAAGAATGCATCCCCCACCCAAAACACCTGCACCACTAGTATCACAGGTGGGCATTGGAGCAGAAGGGTGGTCAGGTGTCATGGTAGACCCCCCAGCAGAGGCAGACCCAGCATGTCTGCAACTGTGGTCGAGAAATCTGTTTCTCATTTTTTAAAAATGATTCCTAAAATACTTGTATTGGCACAGACTGCCAACCCCTCCCATAGAAATCTAGAAAAGCAACAGCAGATGAAACGCATTTTTTTTGTTTCACAAGTGTCCTGTGCTTTGCAGAATAGCTCATTGCCACGTTTTCTTTTATGTAGTGAGTTCTTTTACTGCAAGAGCCTTGGTGGTACAGTGGTTAAAGCACTTGGCTGCCAACCAAAAGGCTAGTAGTTCAAACCCACCAGCCACTCTGTGGGAGAAGGATGAGGCAGTCTGCTTCTGTAAAGATTTGGACTTGGAAACCCTGTAGGGCAGTTCTATTCCATCCTGTAAGTTTGCTGTGAGTCGAAAATTAACTTGATAGTAGTGGGTTTTTGGTTTTCTTTTACTGCATTTTAAAAATAAAGCAGGTTTAGAGTAATGTTCAAATGATAAACAAAAATAGAGGAAAGTATATGGAAACCCACCACCGTCACCCGGGTGAACAGTTACAGCAGCTGGCCAATCTTCCACTTACATCTTCTCTCCCACTCCC